ATGGATTGGGGAAAGGTGACTTCTCACCCTTCTCCATTACACACACACAAAGTGGGGAGAGAGAGAAAGAGAGAGAAAGACTTCTGTAGAGAGTCTGTCATTTGTCAGGTCTAGGCTGTCGGAGTGATTGATACGCAGAGTTCAGTCTACACGGACTTTCTCCATCAGCCAAGACATTCCAGCAGGCCTGGTCCAGTCTGCCTGTCGCCAGCAGTCAACAAGCAACATGGTTTGATTGAAATCAGGGAAGTCTCTTCATCCTCCCTCTCCTCCTCCCCTTTTATCAACTTACAATAACATCATCTCGATCATTTATTTTTACAACCAAGCTGAGCTGCGTGTCACCCGGCCCTTGCAAACTGCATTAAAAAGCGGGGGGGGGGGGGTGTTTGGAGGGGGCGTGTGTTAAAGTTTTTAAGTAAGGCATCCTCCGTGCCTCCACAGAGAAATCAACAGCCATTGGTTTCTGGCATTGCATAGACGAGACAATTATTGCGGGGCTTTAGAAGAAAAAGAAGAGGAGTTAAGCAAGGGGAACTCCTGAAAAGAATAGGTTGATATGCTAAAATCAGAAAGGAGAAAAAAAATAAGCTAATGTACCTCCTAAAAGTGGGAAGTAACAGACTAAGAGGGAATGTTTATTTATTTGAGGCATCTTTGATGCTTTCTTAGTTGTTTTCTTGCAAACGTTTCATTAACCAAACTAGGTAACATCATCAATATTTGGGTAATGAGACATCTGCAAGAAAATAACCAAGCTCAGAGAGCAGCAAAAGACCCCTCATTTCAACCTCAAGCTACAAAAATTCTCCTTTATTGGTACTGATTTATTTTTGTTATATAAATTTATATGGTCGTTCAACTCACACAGAAATCACTCCGGGTAGCTTACAACATTAATAATCCACAAAATAAAACCCAATTACAATCTTGTTTTATTTTCTACGTCCTGACCTTAAACTCTTAAAGGTTGATGAATTTGGTCTTGTCAAAATCATTGAGGAAGAGTATATATAAGCTTGGTTTGTTTTTAGAGATTTGTGGTTGTTTAAAAGAAGTTTGTCTTCTATATGCTACCACCTGTCTGTGACAAATAGGTATTTATGATTTTATGGAACCTGGATAATTGCTTGTTTGAAATCCTGATTATCCAGGAAATGAAGAGAGCCAAGAAACAATTATTATTTCTAGAAAAGGCCCAAATTGTAAAATAATTTTTTAGTTAAAAATAAACAAGACGATTGCAAGGGTTTCTGTTCCCAACATGAGCTTGGTTGAGGAAACTTTTCAGAATTCTTTAAGTCAAAGGCAGAAACCTATGACCATAATTGTGAACCCTGGTCATAAATAAGGTCAAATTGTGCTGGAAATAACGGTTGTAAATTCTGTCAGTTGTTAAGCGAGTCATCCAAGTGCGCATGTCCAATATCACAACCTTTTTGGCAGGAATTGTTAAAACGACCACAGCCATCATTAAGTGAATCCATTGTTTGTAATGGACGTTTTTGCCTTTAAATTGTAAATTTTCTGTGTTCTAAGTTGTAAACTCTGGTCATGTGACAGCAGGACACTGCAAATGACCATAAATGAGGGCCAGTTGCTTAATGTCCATAATGTTATCCATGACCAGAGGAGATACGCCATCCATCATAACTTTGAATGTTTGCTAAGTGACCGGTTGTAAGTCACTTAAGACTTATGATTGTAAGACTACCTGTATGATAACTATAGATTTCTGGGAGCTGTGCAGAGGTGGTGTTCAGCAAGTTGAGTTCTGGAGAACCGGTAGCGAAAATTTTGAGTAGTTTGGAGAACCAGCAAATATCACCTCTGACTGGCCTCGCCCCCATCTGTTCTCTGCCTCCCAAGTCCCAGCTGATTGGCTGGGTCTTCTTTTGTTGCCCTGCACAGGAGAATGGAGCTGGAAAGCAGGTTAAGTGGTGTGGGGAGGGAATAGAGATTTTACAGTAACCTTCCCCTGCTACACCCACTAAGCCACGCCCACAGAATCAGTAGTAAAAAAAAAAAATTTGAACCCCACCACTGAGCTGTATTGCACTTGTGATTTTTGGAGGACACAAATTGGGGCGAGGTAGTGAAAATAGCACTTTGTTTACCAACATGCAGGAAAGAGAAGTGGTTTTTTTTTTTTTTAAAGGCACAATGCAAAAATGTACACTTTTAACTCAAGGGCCACTCCAGGGTTTGCTCAGCTGAGACAGAGCAATTATTAGAGGTAATTTTAGGATATTTAATTCACTTCTTGAAGGCTTGAAACCACCTTCTGCACTTGAAATAGAATAGAATAGAATAGAACAGAACAGAACAGAACAGAACAGAACAGAACAGAATAGAATAGAATAGAATAGAATTCTTTATTGGCCACGTGTGATTGGACACACAAGGAATTTGGCTTGGTGCAAATGCTCTCAGTGTACATAAAAGAAAAGAGACATTCATCAAGAGTGAAGAATCATAAGGTACAACACTTAATGATAGTCATAGAGTACAAATAAGCAATCAAATCATACTAGGAAACAGTCAATATAAGTCATAAGGATACAAGCGACAAAATTACAGTCCTACAGTCACAAGTGGGAGGGGATGGGTGATAAGGAACAGTGGTGGGATTCAAATAATTTAACCGGTTCTCTGCCCTAATGATTTCTTCCAACAACCAGTTCACCAAACTGCTCAGAAAGTTAACAACTGGTCCTCCCGAACTGGTACGAACTGGCTGAATCCCACCACTGATTAGGAGTAATAGTAGTGTTCACTTTGTAAATAGTTGAACAGTGTTGAGGGAATTATTTGTTTAGCAGAGTGATGGTTTTCGGGGGGGAAACTGTCCTTGTGTCTAGTTGTTGTGGTGTGCAGTGCTGTATAGTGTCATTTTGAGGGAAGGAGTTGAAACAGTTTATGTCCGGGATGTGAAGGGTCTGTAAATATTTTCATGGCCCTCTTTTTGACTCGTGCAGTATACAGATCCTCAATGGAAGGCAGGCGGGTAGCCATTGTTTTTTCTGCAGTCCTAATTACTCTCTGAAGTCTGTGTCTGTCCTGTTGGGTTGCAGAACCAAACCAGACAGTTATCCTGATCCTGTTCAATCGCCAACTCTTTTAAAGTGACATTATAACTTTGAACAGTTGCTAAATGAATGGTTTTAAGTCGAGGACTACCTCTATCTGCATCAGAAAAATGGCCGCATAGATTTTGGAACCATTGTGTGTGCTGGAAGATTGAGGCAGACTGAAATATTATCTTGCCTAAAAATAAACAAATATAAACCTCAGGATTCAGTGCAATGATGGAGAATTGACTTTTCAAATTTTGCTTTTTAATGAAGAGATAATTGGGGCGATCTTCTCAAGATGGTGCATGAAGTTTTTGACTCTTATTTATTTAACTAAAGATGGTCCATAGATGTAGATCAATATTGTTCTATATCAATGCCTCTGTTCATCTTTTGACTGTACTGTTGAGATATTTCTCAAATGTTGACCACTTGAAGATGTGTGGACTTCAATTCCCAGAATTCTCCAGTCAACCGTTGACAGGAGAATTCTGGGAGTTGAAGTCTACACATTTCAAGTGGCCAAGTTTGAGGAACATTTAGTCTAGATCGGGGTGGTGAACAACAACTTCCTTGTGTGTCCAATCACACTTGGCCAATAAAGACTTCTATCTATTCTATTATGACTTGTGGACTTCAACTCCCAGAATTTGATTTTGAATTCTGGGTGTTGAAGTCCAGAAGTCATAAAGGGGCCATGATTCCCCACTTCCGGTCTAGATGAACATCTTTTAAAAAAATATCTTTCTAGAGGTGTGCTAATTTACTGGTTCCCCAAAAAAATTTTTTTTTCTGATAGGGACTTTTTTAGTAGTGATATTACTGTAGCATTTCAAAAGAACAAAAAAAATGGGATATTTTCTCCTTCGCTTGGAGAATTCGTTCCCACTTTTTCTTTCCCCTCAAATCGGATGGAGAATTTTAAAAGGTTACTGTAAAATCACCATTCCGTTCCCACCCCACTAACCTGATTTCCAGCTCCGTTCTCCTATGCAGGGCAGCAAAAGAAGACCCAGCCGATCAGTTGGGACTCGGGTGGCAGAGAAGAGATGGGGGCGGGGCCAGTCAGAGGTGGAATTGGCCAGTTCTCCGAACTACTCAAAATTTCTGCTACCGGTTCTCCAGAACTGGTCAGAACCTGCCGAATACCACCTCTGGTCTGAATTTTGATCACATGACTATGGGGATGCTGTAATGGTTGTGTGAAAAATGGTCATAAGTCACTTTTTTGAACAGTCACCAGACGAAGTGTTGTAAGTCAAGGACTATATTAGCATTAACAGAATAACAGAGTTGGAAGGGACCTTGGAGGTCTTCTAGTCCAGTCCCCTGCCCAGTCTCCTGATCAGGAAACATTTCAGAAAAATGGTAGCCCAATTTCTTCTTTAAAAAAAACTTCCAGTATTGAAGCATTAACAACTTCTGGAGCAGTGGTGGGATTCAAAATGTTTTACTACCGGTTCTGTGGGCGTGGCTTGGTAGGCATGGTGTGGTTTGGTGGATGTGGCTTGGTGGGCGTGGCAGGGGAAGGATACTGCAAAATCCCCATTCCCTCCCCACCCCACTGACCTGCTTTCCAGCTCCGTTCTCCTGTGCAGGGCAACAAAAGAAGACCCAGCCGATCAGCTGGGACTTGGGAGGCAGAGAAGAGATGGGGGTGAGGCCAGTCAGAGGTGGTATTTGCTGGTTCTCCAAACTACTTAAAATTTCTGCTACCGGTTCTCCAGAACTGGTCAGAACCTGCTGAATTACCACCTCTGTTCTGGAGGCAATTAATCTTTCCACTGATTAATTGTTCTCACTGTCAGCCTTCTAACTGCACTCATAATCTTGGCTTCCTTGTTGGGTTTTCCTTGAAGGGCTGACTTGATTCCACCCAAAGTTCAATTCTCACAATTCTCTTTTTTCCCCCCCACCTCATTTCAGAGTTCTTGGAGGAGTTCCCTGGGGATAGCCGAGAGTGTGTGAACTGTGGGGCCCTGTCGACCCCCTTATGGAGGAAAGATGGCACAGGGCATTATCTGTGCAACGCCTGTGGCCTCTATCACAAACTGAACGGGACCAACAGACCACTCATCAAGCCACAGAAACGACTGGTAAGACTGACTCGTGTTGAGTTGTTGCTTTTCTTGGAATTTTTAAAAGACCCGCCTCACTCATTGATAGTATCTCTTAACATGTCTTAACATCTCTTAACCATCCAGGTCATGGTTGTCCCAATGGTGCTTTTTTCAAGAGGCAACTGGACTTCTGTTGTTGTTTTTTCTTTGAAGACATTTCACTTCTCATGCAAGAAGCTTCTTCAGTTGTGATTGGATGGTAAGGAATGGAACGGAACTGTTGAAAAGGACTGTATGTACAGCACAGTCCTTTCAGCAGTTGCAGGAAGGCTCCACACACCCATTTGCACCAACTCAGGTGTCCCTGAGGACCCAGATAAAACCTCCAGGTGGCCTCAGTATCTCTCTAAAGAATGCAAATGACCAGCTGTCTGCAAGGAGTATAATAAATCCTTCCATTCCCCACCATCCTGACAGAGCTGAAGAAGCTTCTTGGATGAGAAGTGAAATGTTTTCCAAGAAAAAAAACAGGGAAAGCCAGGTTGCCTCTTGGAAAAAAGCACCTTTGGGATCTCTAACCTGTGTTTCACGGCCATGACACTTGTCAGTCTGTGAGGCAAAATGGGACTTCCAAGCTTGGAAGTTGAACTCTGAAATAATAAGTCAGCCCCTCCCCCCAAACTTGGCAACTTTAAGACTTGTGGACTTCTGGGAGTTGAAGTCCACAAGTCTTAAAGTTGCTAAGTTTGGAGACCTCTGTAGTAAAGGGAACAGCTGATCCTGCCCAGTCAGATGAAAAGCATCTAACAACTCTCCTTTTTAGAGCAGTTTTCTCAACCTTGGCCTCAAGCCTTAAGACATGTGGACTTCAACTCCCAGAATTTTCCAGCCTGCACGGTCATTGCTGAGCATTCTGGGAGTTGAAATCCACTCACCTTTAATTTGCCAAGGTTGGGAAACCACCAGTATTTAAATATAGGTAGTCCTCAACTTACAACCACAATGGAGCCTAACGCTTCCATTGCTAAGCAAGACAGTTCTTAAGTGAGTTTTGACCTGTGGCCACAGTTATTAAACAAATCATTTGAGGTTGCTAAGTGAATCTGGATTCTCCATTGTCTTGGTTTACCAGAAGGTCACAAAAGGAGATCACATGACCCCAGGACACTGCAACCGTCATAAATACAGGCCAAGACACTCGTAACTGTGAAAAATAGTCAAAGGTCACTTTTTTATCAGTGCTGTTGTAACAGTCACTAAGTGAATGGTTGTAATTCAAGGACTTATCTATATACAGATCTCCCATTCACTGTATCAAAGGAGGCAGAATTCCAAAATGGTTTTACAGCATTTGTACCCCAAATAATTGTTTGTTTTGCTCTGCAAAGCTTACACAAAACTGTCAAACCAACAAGCCAATTTCTTGGCTGTCATTTTTCAGGTTTCACACTTGCACACTTTCAATTCATTCCGGGGGGTGGGTGGGGTGGAAACATGGGCCCAAGATAAGCTGCAAATTGTCCCTGTTTCTGCCATTCAGAGCTTCACACTTCATTCTAGCAGACTGTATGTGTTCTCAAGTGTGTGTGTGTATGTGTGTGTGTATACACACGTCCTCCAGGGTTATTCACCAAACATTCAAGATCGGATTTCCCCCTACTCCCCTTCAGTTGTTTGGAGAATAGATCATACTACGTGGGCTTCCAAAATATCCCCTCGTCCTTGAGACCCCATACTTGAAATTTAAAAACACTGAATTTTCCAGAGTCTTGATATAATGTTCTCTTTGGCCTTTGAAGCGCGTAGAACTGAAAGCAACCATGGGGGGGGGGGAGTATGTTTTGCAGTAGAAGTAGGGAGGAGCAATTGTACAGACCTACAGATAAAACCTGAAATGTGCCTCCCCGCAGCTGGGCTTTAGTAGATAAAAACTGAGCAGATAATCCACTTTTTTTTTAAAAAAGGAGAAATCTCAGTGCTGTTTCCTCCCTGTCTTTCTTCCATTGCCGGAGTCAGAGCTATGCAAGCAGTGTTTTTATTTAATCAAGAAAAACCCTACAACACGAGCTGCATTTCTGTTCGTATTTGGGATTAGGATGTTATGGTTTTGAATCCATTTCTTGGATCTCTGTTCTCTTGGTTTATTTTCCTTTCTTCTTTTCTTGCAATAAACCACAACAACAACAACAACTCTGGAACAAGGCTTCACCAGAAAGGTCCACTGGCTTTAGAGAGTGGGTGAAACTTCTGGGTGTGTTTTGAATAAACACAGTTGGAAACTTACAATGCAGAGAGAGTTTATCAGTTGCATTTGAGCTGCTTTAAGGTAGTTTCCCGATTAGCTTTCCGTTTAAGGACTCGGCCTGGTTTTGTATAAACAAAACTGGGTTGGCCCAGGATTGAAATGGCAATTTGGAGCAAGGTCAATCCTTTGCAGAGGCAGTTGGAGTAAGAAGGAGGAGAAACTCAACTCTCTGTGCTGAAAAAGCCTTGGAATAATTTGAGGGGTTTCCCTCCCTTTCCATTAGCCCAACAGATTTTTTTTTTCATTACATTGGTGTTGCCAAATGTCAAAACAAAGGAACGTGTTACTCAAGTGTGCTTTAGAAGAGCAGCCTTCTTCCTTGAAGGGCTGTGTAACACGCAGCTAATCCACAACGTACAACCGCAATGGAGTCTGTTCTGGCCTAGGCTTCCCCAACAGCATGAAGCTGACTCCATGTCCCAATAAACCCCTTTTATTTAGTTTATAGTGAATTTCTCTCCAGCAAAGTCCCGGCCAACAGTCTTTCAAGGTATTTCACAATTACAGACCTTTATCAGGCTTGGAGAGTTGCCAGGCCATATCTTTCAGACGCCACACTGTAGCAGACAATACTTGGCAGGAATGCAGGAACAGATCTTCACCCAAATGAACTAATTGTCTCCTGTAAAACCCCACTCCCCTTTTGCTCCTCTTTTACTCCCTATGGGAGGGGCCATTCAGCATTCACCTGTGGCTTTACTCCCAAGTCGACCCTTGTTCCTTAGCTGTTCCTTTCTTCTGGCAGCTGGGCACATGTGTACACTGGGAACAGGCTCCAGCTGTTCTTCAGCCTCACTGATGTCCAACTCCGAAGGCAGTTGATAACTGTCAGACGGTCCTGGCTCCATCTCTGCCTCCAACACAAAGCATTTGTCAGAGCCTTCCTCAGACTCCAGGACTGACCCATGTTCCTCCCCAACCTCCTCACTGTCCGAATCTGCTACCAGCTCTGCTGGCCACTGGCGGGCCACAACAAAGTCCAACATTTCTACTGCCAAACGAGGCAGTTCTTAAGTGAATTGTGTCCCATTTTAGGATAGTGCTCGCCACAGTTGTTAAGTGAATCAGTACATTGTAGCATGGTTGTTAAGGGAGTATGGCTTCCCTGTTGACTCTACTTGACAGAAAGGAGATCTCATCACCCCAAGACACTGCAACCATCATAAATATGAGTCAGTTGCCAAGCAGCTGAATTTTGATTATGAAACCATGGGGATGGTGCAATGGTCATTAGCGATGACGAGTTGGCCATGGTGAGTTGGTTGTAGCGAGTTGGTTGTGGTGAATTATAGACCCTGTTGGGGTATCCAAGGACGAGTGTTGATGGGTGTTGTAGTCATGCTGTAAAAACATTTAGAAGTTCACAGACGTTCTCCTACTAGTTTAGGGTCATATTTATATGCCAGTTGCCAAGCACCCCAAATTTTGATCACATTACCATGGAGATGCTGCAACGGTCATAAGTGTGAAAAAAAACTCAGTCATTAGTCTTTTTTTTTTTCAGTGCTGGCATTACTTCGAACGGTCAGTAAACAAACTGTTAAGGACAATTTATATCAGCTAAGGGCAAACATGTCATTCATTGGAAGCGGTGCACTTAAAACCACCAAAAGGCCATTGGGGAATAATCTGCTCCATTTTTACCGAAGCTTCTTTATTGTTCCTTGGAAGTTGGGGTAGAACAGGCGTATCAAACTTGATTTCATTGAGGGCCACATTGGGGTTGTGTTCAGTGGTAGGATTCAATTTTTTTTATTACCGGTTCTGTGGGCATGGCTTGGTGCGCATGGCAGGGGAAGGATACTGTACAATCTCCAGTCAAGAGGCGGTATTTGCCGGTTCTCCGAACTCAAAATTTCCACTACCGGTTCTCCAGAACTGGTCAGAACCTGCTGAATACCACCTCTGGTTGTGTTTGACCTTGGGGGGCTGGGGTGGGCATGGCCAGCTCAACGTCACTTGTGTCAGGGGCGCCTGTGGTGGCCTGAGCGCTCAGCCAACAAAAACAGAGGCTCCCAAATTCCATTTTCGGCTGCAACAGCCTTGTGCAACCCTCTGCCAGTGAAAACGGAGCTCGGGAGGGCTGGGTTAGAAGAAACTAACTAACTTTTACAAGGCCGAGAGAGAGAAAGAGACTCAAAAGGCAGTTTCCAGTATATGACTGCACTTTCTATTTTAACAACTGTTTTTTGCAAACCTAAATGTTGAAACGTCTTCTCTTGCCTTGTCACGCCATTCATTTTCTACAAACACTGATCAGCGCTATGAAGTTTGCCGAGCTGGGCATTCAAGTTCCTGCTTCTTTCACTTAATTCATCATTTGTGGTCCCAAGTTTTTAATAGTAAAGTCAACAAATATGAAATTCTCCGGCGCGTACATAATTTTCCAAAGCAGCTGGATTATGGTCATCGCAGGCAGAAAGTTTCTCTCACGAAGGTTGTGAAGTATTCCTAAAGCACCTGAAGTGAGAAGTGAAATGAGACCGGGTCAGCCTGCGATCTAGTTTTACGAGCAGCCACTTGGAGAAGTCTGTGGTTCTGGAGATCCTTCCCGGCCACCCAAAAATCGTCCCTTGATAGTTAGCATGTCAAGAAAAGGTCAGGCTAGCGAAGAACGGGGAAATGGAAGCCTTCCAACTGTTGCTGAACTATAATTCCCAGTATCTTCTTGGGTCAGAATGGGACAACGTGCTGTGGCCAACTCACCATGGCCAACTTGGGACAATTCACCATGACTGTGTAACAACTCGCCATGGGACAATTTAAGAATTCAATTGAATTATTTAAAATAAATGAAAAAATATTTCAGTTTTTGTCATTCACACTTCATTCTGTCCTTCCTTTGGCATCCTTTCTTTAATGATTCTATTCCACCATTTCTTTAATAACTCTTGTCCCACAATGAGCTGGCCCATGGTGACCTGGCTGTGGCGAGTTGGCCACAGCAAATTGTCCTAGACCCTGTTGGGGTAACCAAGGGCGAAGGTTGATGGGTGTTGTAGTCACATTGAAGAAACATTTAGAAGTTCACAGTTGCCCTTCCTAGTTTAGAGTCATATTTAAATGCCCATTGCCAAGCACCCAAATTTTGATCAAGTGACCATAAGGACCATAAGTATGGGGACTTGATTATAAGTCCTTTGTAACATCAAACTGAATTCAATGGAATTGAATTCTTTATTGGCCAAGTGTGATTGGACACACAAGGAATTTGTCTTTGGTGCAGATGCTCTCAGTGTACATAAAAGAAAAGGTACATTCGTCAGGAATCTTAAGTTATAACACTTAATTCATAGTGCAGAGAAGAGCAACAAAGATGATTAGGGCACTGGAGCCTAAAACATCTAAAGAACGATTGCTGGAATTGGTTTTGTCTACTTTGATGAAAAGAAGGACTGGGGTGACAGGATAGCAGTGCTCCAATATCTCAGGGGCTGCCACAAAGAAGAGGGAGTCAAGTTATTCTCCAAAGCACTTGAAGGCAGGACAAGAAGCAACGGGTGGAAACTAATCAAGGAGAGAAGCAACCTAGAACTAAGGATAAATTTCCTGACATTGAGAGCAATTAATCAGTGGAATAAATTGCATGCATGCGCAGGGCGCGGGGCGTGTGCGCATTGCCTTCTGGGTACTGGCACACGAGTGTGCACATCAATGCGCACAATTTTTGGCACAGGAGCCCAAAAAGGTTAGCCAGCGCTGAACCAGATGCATTTGACCTGTCTGCCAGGCGGTTCAAGGGATTGAAAACAACCATTACTATAGAAAAAAAAGTTGTTTTGATTCGCAAAACAGCTGCTAAGTGATTGGAGAGGCATTTCATGCACATCCACACAGTTTTGTGATCACAGCACTTCCTTGCTCTTTAGAATATGCACACAATCTCAGAATGATTGGGGCTGGGAGAGCATTTAGCCAGCAGTTGCATGGATCCACAGTTTTCTGGAAATCTTCCATTTAGGTCTTCAAGGGTTCCTGACCCTTGTATTCTGAAGTCATGCTTGATATCCTTTAAGCCATAGTTACATAACTTTGGCGGGGAGAGAGAGACAGAGAGAAAGAGATGGAGAGAAGGAGAAAGAAAGAAAAAGAAAAACAAAATAAAGAGAAAGAATAGAAAGAAAGAGAAAGAGAAAAAAGAGAGAAAGAAAGAGAGAAAGAAAAAGAAAGAAAGAAAGAAAGAAAGAAAACACAAAGTGCGAAATCTTTGGCTCAGCTTCTCCTCTGGTGCTTTGTGAAAGATTTCCCCCTGGCAAAAGTCCACTTAAATTCAGGGAAGAGGATTTAAAGGGATATTACCAGAGCATGTCACAACCTTAAAAAAAACAAAAAACCATGCACATTGCAAAAAGACATGATCTCAGCAGACTATTATTGTTTCCAATAAATCGTGTTGTCTTTAATGTGGAATCAAGGCTTTTCGTGTTTTGGGAAATGGTTTTAATTTTGATTGCCTCCGAATTGATGCCTCATAATAATGTTTCTTTTTTTTTTCTCCCTTGGCTCTCCCTCCTTCCAAAAATTGTCCTTCTGTTCTTAAAAAGACTATTTCTCTTCTTTTACTTGGCAGTCTACAAGTCGTCGAGCTGGTCTTTGCTGCACTAACTGTCAAACAACCACCACAACCCTCTGGAGACGGAACGCGGAAGGGGAGCCGGTGTGCAACGCATGTGGATTATACATGAAACTCCACGGGGTAAGAGGAGAGCATAGCTTCCTGCATTTATTACGTTTTAATAACTTGATGTGTCGATTGACATTAGTAATGGTCATTGAGAGATAGTTGCTGGGATTTTGTTGTGGTTCAGTTGTAAGTCACATCTGACTCCATGCGACCCCATGGACTGCAGCAGTAGGTCAGGCTTCCTGTCCTCCACTGTCTCAAGAGTCTGTCCAAATTCATGTTCATTGCATCGATGACATTATCTACAGTGGTAGGTCTCCAAATTGTTAACTACCGATTCTATGCGTGGTTCTATGCGCGGCATAGAGCTCAAAGACCGACCTCTGTCCATGCTGGTAAGCTGAGCTGTTTTTTAGCTCAGCTGAGGTGCAGCAATCCACTGAGCTGAGCTGAAAAACAAGGGAATATAGGAGAGGTAACAGCAGGGGCAGGTGGGCAGGGCCAACCAGAGGTGGTATTTGCCGGTTCTGCAAACTAGTCTGGAAGTTGTAGGTGCTCCGTCACTGGAGATATCTGTTCTGACCAAGGCTTCCTGAGACCGTAATTAAGTACATGCTTAGTTAAAACTCGTTTTATTTCAACGCTGGGAATTATGTTCATTCCCAGCCTGTAATGAGTCCCAAACAGTCCCTCGAGATAAGCACCCACCTTTCTCTCCTTTGAAGTGCTGCCAACAACTAAAGTGCCATTATGAACTATAAAAAACCAACCAAAGCAGAAAGTCCACACAGAGCTTTAAGGATTAATCCAAACAGAACGAACAACTTTGTTTCCTGCAAAGGTTTCTCTACTTTTACATTTCCTTTATGCCTTATGGGAGGGGGAATCACCTCCCAGCCTTACTCCCGAGTTGCCCCTTTTGTCTTGGCTGCTCTTGCCTTCTAGCAGCTCTGCGCGCGCACACACACTAGGAACAGGCCCCCCTTGTTCCTCTGCCTTGCTGATGTGCCAGACTCCGGAGCCTCCGGAGTCAGCACACTACTCCCAGATGGTCCTGGCCCCATCCCTGCATCGGACCCAAGACCCCCATCTGAGTTCTCCCCAGATTCCCGAGTGGTCCCCGTTCTTTCCCACTGTCCGATTGCACTGCCATCTGCACAGGCTGCCAGAGAACCACAACACTATCTATGGAAATTCTCAGTCATCCAGGTCATGGTTGTCCCAAAGGTGCTTGCTACACCTGTGGAAGGGGTCAACGTATTCTCCAAGGCACCTGAGGGCAGGACAAGAAGATGGAATATCATACCTAATTATATTCAGATGGAATATCATACCTAAATGATATTCCACCTTCTTGTCCTGCCCTCAGGTGCCTTGGAGAATACGTTGACCCCCCTCCACTCTATGACAGCCTCTTAAAAATTAGAATGCTGCTATCATATCACCCTTAGTTCTTCTTTTCATTGAACTAGACATACCCAATTCCTGCAACTCTTCTTCATATGTTTTAGCCTTCAGTCCTCTGAAAAAGGAGCCCAGAATTACACCTGTAAACCATGCCAGCTCTTGGCACCCAAATTTTGATCACATAACCATGGGGATGCTGCAGTGACTGTTAATGAGAGAGTCGCTGTACTTCTATCAGTGCCGTTGTAACAATTGCTAAACAAGGAGGATTAGAGGATGAGAGCTAAAACCTATGAAGGAAAGGTTGCAGGAATTGGGTATGTCTGGTTCAACGAAAAGAGTCTCAACGTCCTTTTTTTTTTTTTTTTTTTTTTGTATTACGGTGACCAAAATTGGATGCAGCAATCCAAGTTTGGTCTTAGTAAACCAAAGGTCCATTTTTTGACTCCAAGAGACAAAAGTTTGCTTGGCATGTGGTTGTTGTAGAGGGGGAACTCTGGTAGGAAAGATAATATATCATTCAGAAAGGGTTCCAAATATTGTGCCTTGCTCACTTACTAGCCAAGGACGACCATTGAGGAAAACAGTTTGCACTGAAGGACAAGGACGTCATACATATTGTGCAAATATCTGTGCAGAAAAGAATGTGTAGTAGGCAGCCAGAGCAGAAATGCAGGCCTAAAACCAGTATTATGGTTTGTGTTCTTTTTTCTTTCTTTTTAATGTCAAGGTGCCAAGACCTCTGGCGATGAAAAAGGAAAGCATCCAGACCAGAAAACGGAAACCTAAAAATGTCAATAAAAGCAAATCCTCAGCAAACAGTAAGTATTTCATTATTATTCTATTTGCTAGTGCAGACAATATTATTTATTTAGGAAATATAGGACTCTGTGTTGATATATATCCAAGTATTTCTCAATGCTTAAGTATGGATCGATTGCATCTGATTCCATGTCCAGTAATATTTTCTGATTTGTGAACTACAGTTTTTTTGCAGCTCTGGACAACAGGGAGTTATAGTGGTGTGTTTTATTTTGAACCTTGCCCTATCCAAATTCTTAGCCCTAAGCATGGCAATTCAAGATGGATCACTCTCCAGCTCTAACAAAGAATGATGGTTAAGGATTGATCTTAGTCATTTTGAACTGTAAACCTTCTTGAGTGCTTTGGCAGCAAAGACTATAAATAAATGCATAAGAAAATCCAAACAAAATGTTACAGGGCGGAACATGCTTTGGAGATTTCTACTGCCTCTGCCCTCTTCCTATGTTTTCAGTTCAACTCCCACCGATTTTGCAATGTTTTCTTATCCAGCAGTTCGCAAGCATTCCTGGTATTTCATGGCCACCGAATGCACTAACTCATCATATTATTCAGATTTATTTCAGTTTTCTTTTTTATTTGTGAAAATGTTGGGCTTTCCCCCTACAATGCTTCTCAGTGTCAAGAGAGTGATTTAAAACTCTTGTAGGTTTTTTTTTATCCCATAGTTGACATGGCCTTGAGATAATTTCCCATTTACTCTAGGATTTCTGTTTTAATTCTTATTTTCTTGGCCCTGCAGAGAGCTCCTTTAGTAATTGGGACAGTTAATAGATTGATTTTAAAAACAATAGAAATGGAACAGGACCTGTGTTAGAATCCTAACCTGGAGACAAACCAGATAGAATGGCATTTGGCTTTCAGCATCATGCAGGTAGTCCTTGGCTTAAGACCACAGCTAAGCCCAAAATGTCTGTTGCTAAATGAGACATTTGTTAAATGAGTTTCCCCCCATCTTAATGACCTTTCTTGCCACCGTTGTTAAATGAATCACTGCGGGGGTTAAATTAGTAATAAAGTTGTTCAGCGAATCTGGCTTCCCCATTGACTTTGCTTGTCAGAAGGTCGCAAAAGAGGAACATGTGACCCCGGGACACTGCAACCGTCACAAATATGAACCAGTTAACCAGGCATCCAAATTTTGATCAAGTGACCCCCCGGGATGCTGCAACGGCCATAAGTGTGAAAAATGGTCGTAACTCCATTTTTCAGTGCCGTTGTAACTTCAAATGTTCACTAAGCGAATGGTTGTAAGTCAAGGACTATCTGTATAGTAGAAGGCATTGAAAACTGTTGAATAGGTGGAAATACTAATGAAAGTAGGGAATGATTGTGGATGGTAATTGCTGGATCTGCGTCATGCTGTCATGGATGGATGGATGGATGGATGGATGGATGGATGGATGGATGGATAGATAGATAGATAGATAGATAGATAGATAGACAGACAGACAGACAGACAGACAGACAGACAGACAGACACATACGTGGTATTCAGCAGAACGACCAGTTCTGGAGAACCAGTAGTGGAAATTTTGAGTAGTTTGTAGAACCTGCAAATGCCAGCTCTGACTGGAGATTTTACAATATCCTTTCCCTGCCACGCCCACCAAGCCACGCTCTCAGAACCGGTAGTAAAAAATTTTGAATCCCACCAATGAATGGATGGATGGATGGATGGATGGATGGATGGATGGATAGATAGATAGATAGATAGATAGATAGATAGATAGATAGATAGATAGATA